CAATATTAGTAAGTAGTGAAATCCTTCATCTACTAGTACTACTACCTATGGAGAATAGTCATTACCCACTGTGTTTTATAATCTGATAATCCAGCTGCTGAGATCCATCATCATTATCACCAAGAAGCATAATGATGATAATATCATCAAAGTTATTCAGGTGAATGCTGCCTGTGTTACTCAGTCATGATCATCATCATGCTGTCACCCTGTCTACTCTATTCTCCCTCTTGTACCCAGATACAAAGCCACCAATACAAAGGCCCTATAAGCCTTTAACGACCCTTGAGTATGGGTATAGTAGCAGTAGACTCTGAGTAGCAGCAGCAGCAGCAGCAGCCCAGAAATAATCATTTTGCTGTTCACTTATCCCCTATTGTTACATGAAGTTATAAGGCAGCAGCACACTTTGAGGAGCGTGAGGAATTCCTGCTAGGTCTTCTCGATTAATAAATCTGCTGCGGCCTGGTTCGATCCCGCCCGGATATCTCTCTTCGAGCTCTTCACAAAATCGAGTTGTTGATTTCTGGGTGGATAGGCGACGGGTCTCGCCAGAGACAGTAACAATCGCGGTAGCACTCAAGCGAGCCCCGGTATTTTCCGGGGCGAGCGCTAAAAGCCCGGCGCCAGCCAGCCATAAGACAAGGTAGGGCCGAAAAAGTGGTCTTTTTTTCAGTTACCCATTCAATGTCGCTCAAACTTCTCAGATCGGTGCAAAATGTGCTAATTTGAATAGCACGCGAGCATTTCAGTCAGTTGAAGCCCTCGTTCGCGAGATATCACTTATTTTCTAAAACGCGTATGCGCACAATTATAACATGTGCACGCATGCTCACGCGACATCTGCGCAAGATGAGGTTGTCTCCACGCACAATTACCAGTTCAGTGAACAGAGCGCTCGATCGTCATCCAGATGACCTCGGGTTCGAATGTCGTTTTTCTGCCATTGCGTAAGTTCAATTACCTACACGACTTCGTTCAAACTTCTCAAATCAGTGCGGAATGTCTCAATTAGAGTAGCACGCATGCGCTGACAAGAAATCATTCGCGATAAATGTCATGAAACTGTTCGTGATGTGGAGCATTTGTGCCGAGCCATTTTTATGCGATCTTTCGCGAGATATAGTTAGTTCAGTTGCGCGGTTGATTTGTTTCACTAATTTCTGTAACTGTTCAGCGTCATTGCTGATCAAGATCATCGTAGAGAGTTGAATGGTACGTAGGTTGAAAATGACATAGAATACTCCTTAGTGAATGTGGAGTTTAGGTACGTTCAAAACGAAGCAAGTATAAGCGGGGCTGTAGGCAACAGTGCAAGCGTTGTGGGAGGTTTTGTGGTTTCGCACTATCACACTGTGGTCGCTGTAGGAGTGTGCAACGTCAGCAGGGTCATGCCCTCTTTGAGGACGTGGGTACGTCGACAACATCTGCCTCTGCTTTGGTTGAGACAACGGTTTGCGTCATATGTCAACGCGTGTCCACAGTAGAGTACCCGTTATTTTTCCTCAAAACAAAGGCTCGTCTATATGGACCGAGGTATTTTGGATGGTTTACGAGACGGAAAAGTGTCAGAGTATTATGTTCACAGTGTTACGCTTACTTTGTTATGAAAAAGCGTGCATGGTGTTACGCTTGGCCTGCAGTGTTATATTCGGTTCTACTACATCATGAAACACCTCTCCATGTACGTCAGCAGATTGCTAAGTATGTTCCAAATAGTATCAAATTACATTGGCGATTTTGGCTGGATTTGAGAGGAACAGGGGTGGAGTTCGTAGCTGATTTCACGAGGTATTACATCGAGAATCCATTACCTAAATCTCATATGGTAGTGGGGGAGTTTATCGAGGCGATGGATTCTCATACGTTTCCGAAAGTATTATGCCCTTTTGGATGCCATATATGCGCTTTGAAAGATGGTTACGGTTTGATGGCATTTGTGCACCTAATAAGTTACTTTTTCGCTGGCTTTGACTTATTCGGTGGGAGCAGTTTGAAAATGTGCGGTTGTGCTCCGTCTTGGTTACATGGTTTGAGATCTATTGGCATATTTGAAAGTGGAGTCCTTATGGGTGGATGTATCATTGATAAAGTACGGGGATTATCGATTTTAACATGTAAAGACCACGATATGGGCTCGTCGTTTCAAGTGGTATATCCACCTCATAATCCAGTTCTGAGGGGACTATCTCTTTGCACGCCAGATAATACCGCTTTGGCGACCGTGAAACCACGAGTTATTAAACATATTCGAACTGGGTTTTTATCGGGTACTTGGGGGCTATATAATGCTCAAGAATCATCCACCGGTTTGAGCAGTTTTGCCTTAACGTCGGATAAACGTTGGGATCATATATCCGCGATGGTAGCATCTGTAGATGCCTTGGTTACGCGGCATAGAGCTGATATAGTATATGATATGTATTTACGAGTGACTGGTGGAGGAATGCGAGGTCCTGTTCTTGCTTCTGTTTTGCGTGCAGCAGCTGCATCGCCTGAAATACACGCATCTGATGATTTGCTGAGAAGCACTCTGGTTGATCCAAAGGACGCAGTGTTGATGCGGGAGCGCAGTCGAAGCTTGAAGGCTTCAAGAGATCCACCTCATGTGTTTTATGCTCATTGTTATGGTGCTCATGGTGCGAGACCAGTGACACCTCCAATATGGATGCTCCAGAAAAAGGTGGGAAAAAGTTTTGATGCTATTCGGATATTTATCTGGGTACTACTCCTCTGGAGCGTAGTATCGAATGGATTTGTCAGTGATTTCGTCGATGCCGTTTCGAAGATGGGTACATGCGGAATTTGGAACCGAAAGTGTACGGAACAGTTTCGAGCAGTACTTGAAGGGCTTGCATCCTTCGATGAGACCAAGAGAAAGGCTGTTAGAAAATCATTACGGTTACTAGAGTTGTCTATAACGACTCGGTTGTGGGAAGAAGTAGCTCAATCATTACCGGCAATACTACATCATACACCATATGTTGTTGTACGTATGTTTGTCATGCTAGTACAAAGCGTTCATCTATGCGGGGTGGTTGTTTCGTCCGGAGGAAACGTTTCGTACCTCGCTGGTGATCTACAGTCGTCTCAGAGTGTGTTTGCTGTCAAGGAGAGGACTAATGTAGCGAGTCTTTGCATTCCTCTGTCGGCTATGACTAGCGGTCCAAATGGGAGAGAATTGGTTGGTGCCGTATGTATGTCAAATGCGCTCAGACTACCTGAAGCGTATGTAAGGCATGGTGGTACTCGGAAATGTTGGTGGTTCGTGCCATATGGTCAACATCCTACGGCGTGTAATCATGAGTTTGAAACGTCAACATTTCCCGATATACATGACTGGCAAATATGTCTGTATAGTGGTAATCAATACGTTACACAACAGCAGTTTACTGACTCGCTCATGCACGTTCTCAAAGGCCAGACGATATTGCATTGCTCTGTTCATAAAATTCTTCTCATTAAAGAAGAGTATCCTGCCCGAGTATGCTGTTCGCAGATAAAGTGCACTCAGTATCCCCATAAGGCATTGTATTCGTGTCCGTTTCGTCAGTCTTGTGGGGTATCGATTTGTAGACGGCATTATGTAGAGCTAATGCAGGCGGCAGATCAGTCAATCTGCCCGATTTATGTTAAGAATAGATATCACCTCCAATCAGCTTCGACGTTTACGACTTCTAGTAGTGTCTCATGTCGCTCAGTTATTTCGCATGATGGAAATGCCGCGACGACCAGCGATAATTCTGCTGCTTCTTCTCGAGGAGTATCATTTGATCATGATTCAGATCTCAACAGCCTTAGTGAGTCTGAACCAGATGTGAAGTTATATACTAACGTGTGTGATACTCCTCTAGGTATTGAAAGTTTTACCGTATCGGGTGTATTTCTCATCAATCATGTTTGTGGAGTCTTGCGTCGTCGCGGTTATCCATCAAATTTGCCCAGATATGCTCAACGGTATTTCCAAAATATCGTATCATTGTCACAATCAGGAGTAGGATTGCCCTTACTGTTTCCCGAGAGCCTTCTCTTTACCTCTATTTTCTGGAAGATGCTGTCATACCCAACTGGGGAGAAGAGTTATCCTGGCGCATTACCTATTTCACTCTACTCCAGTATGTCCAATCGGCGTTATGGCTTTCGCTCTTTTCGTGACCACTGTGTGATGAGGTTGCGAGACTGGTCCTGTCCAACTTCGTCAAGTAGTAATTATGCGTTGTTCATGTTTGATGTGTGTTTGAATCAAATGCTGAACAGTACAACGAGGAGCGTGATATTGAAGCGTGGTTGGGAACATATTGCTGGTGATCAAATGGAGGTTCCTATAAGCCATAGGGAGAAGTACATTGCATATGACTCTGCTGATTCTCGTCGGAATGTTCGTGAGCTTTCTGCTCTGATCAGTAAAGCGTGTCCACGATATTTCGTTACATTGACTGCGAATCAACATGGAACGCCTTGTTTACGGCGAATTACGGAAGCTCGTGAAGTGTTTTTACAGAATCATCGGGAAGTGCCTGAGACAGTTGCTTTTCAAGCAAGTTGCACACCTTATTTGACCGTGTGGTACAGTTTCGTATGCAGTTTTATGGAATTTCTGTACCATGGAGGTGATGATGATATCTTTGGTAAGGTTGATTGTTACTGGATGCGTTTCGAGTGGCAAAGCGCTGAGTCTTCGTTGCCTCATTGTCATATTTTGATTTGGAGTAGTGAGTCGACAGCTGTATCGAAGACAAGAATTGTATGTTCATTGAAACAATTTTGCTCGTTCAAGGATAAACTCTTCCACAAAAACCTCATCCGGAGCGAGGCTGAATGGGAAGATGTCTGTGCTGCCTATTTCCTCCTTCAGAGACATTTATGCAGTCAATCTAAAGGAAGGTGCCTGAAACGTGGCGAAGATGGTACACTTCACTGTCGAGTTGCATCTTATACTTCATCCTCAACAACTGAATATATCCCCATCGATCGGTCTTTGAGTGCCGAGGAGTTATCTACATATATTGAGCTTGGGTGGGCAAAGAAAGAGTTAGGTGGGACGTATACTATCTCTCCTGAATGGCAACCGGGTCGGTGGAGTTACGCAACAGATGGACTGCATCAATGGAGTCCAGTGAGTCCTTATATATTTTGTATTTTTCGGTCTAGTTGTAATGTGCAACTGGTGGATTTTACTATGGCGGCTCGCTATTTAGCATCATACGCTGCTGGTGCTGAAGAGCATATAAGGACGAGACTTCGCGCCACTGGTCCAACGTCTACTGAAGTTGTTATAGGGAATCTCGAGAATATTAAATTATCTGGTGGTAGGGCGCAGAAGAAGAGGTCTGAGAAGGAGATACAGGGACGAATTTTATCTCTTCCAGAGGCCATCTTTTACATAATGCGCTTACGGTATGTGGTTACAAGCGCAGCTTTTGTTCATGTACGAACTGATCCGTCGGACGAGCGTCCAGTTGTTAAACTTAACAAAAATAGAGTTGAGGCCCGGGATCATGCTACGGGGTTCCATATTCCACAGGTAGATGTTCGTAGAGACTTGCCTGATATTTGAGATTATTCTCTTTAAAAATGATTTGTTGTGTTATGTATAAAAGTATCATATGAATTATTTGGTGATGTAGGGAGTATAGCGTATCCTGCTTTGCTTGATGTTGTTAGGTAGTTCGAATCTTAATGTCATTTCGATTAGAGTATGCTTCCCATGTACGACCTTTTCGGCAGTTTTCATCGACTCAACAAGCCTTGATACTTGAGGTGCAGAACAGTGACTATTCCATTGACAAGATAACTACTTTTGGTTTAAGACCACCAGAATTATTGTTTGTGGCTTATGTTGTGTCTTATTTATCTTGGTTTACAATTACTTCTATTAGAGTAACTGAATACACTATTGCAGCAGTGGTTGATAAATATGTCAATATTTCAGATGTTCAAAAGGCGTATTGGATGGATGGTGCGAATCGACTAGTGCGTATTAAGCAATATGCGATACCAAATCTTTATGACTATACTGTCAGCGTGCTACGCGGGGATCACGGTCTATTCCATCATAAGCTGGAGCAATATTTTAATATTGTTATCGAACCACTGTTCAGGGATGCGACTTGTTTCCCCAATCTGGTTGATTTCATTCAACCAATCCCTCCTGTTATTGTATCACCATTGACATTGCCATCGGCCAGTGGGAAATGGTTGGTTCATCTGGCTCTATTTTACGGACGATATACTACAGAATCGGAACTATTCGGAACGTCGTCTCTGTTAAAAAGTTACGAGATTTGTGGTCTATATGATCCGATTCATCCCCAGTCATCTGTCGTTCAACTACTGGATCTTTGGGCCAGGAATGAGCTGCGTACTATGCCTGGGTCACATCGAGCTTTTTCAAGAAATTTGGCTATTGCGAGGTATGTTCTCCAAGCCTTTATGTGTGATGAAAATAGTGAGTTCAAATATTTGGAGACGCCCTTGTTATCATTACGACAAATAGAAGCTGTTCATACGGAAGAACTGGATGCCTTTATTCATGACTCTAGGAAACGTTTCATCGAAGGAGTGTCACGTTTATTAGCATTACCGGATCTTCCGTCTATCGAAGCATTGCTATCGTGTAGCTATGGGTCCCCACTACAATGGGAACCGTGTATATCTTCTTGCGCTGGCCAAAGCTCAGCATCTGTATCTGAGCAGCGTTACGTGTTAAATGCGTGCATTAATACAATTACCCGTTTTCTCAGTACATCGTCTGTTTTCGTACCATCCTTACTGATAACGGGGTCTCCAGGGTGCGGAAAAACGAGTCTTTGCTTACTTTGTGGATTGTTTGCTCGTGGTAAAGGACTGGAAGTGACGGCAACTGCTCTAAGCAGTGAAAGGGCAATGTTAATTGGCGGGTACCATATCCATTCCTTATTTTGTATTGGTGTCAACAAAGGAGCTCGTGTGGTCACAGCATCAGAAATAACTCATACTGCTATAACGAAGTTACGGGGCAACGGGTTGAAGATGGCTTTCTTGTTGAGCCTTGATGTTATCGTTTTCGATGAATGTGGGCTCATAGACCAATGTTTGTTCTCTGCATTGAGTGATATCATGTGTACGTTGAGGAAAGTTAGAACTCCTTTCGGTGGCACATTGTTGCTGTTAAGCGGAGACGCTTATCAGTTGAGTCAGATAAGTGGCCGCTCATTATGGTCATCGTCATACATGCATTCTTTGTTTGACGTTTATGAATTGCAACACCAAGTCAGGTGTGCTGAGGATCCAATATTGCAAAGATGTATAAGCATTTTGCGGGATCCTACCTATCCAGTTTGTGAAGAGAATAAAGCATATTTGTGTTCTGCTTTGATTCATAACTGTAAGCTATTATCGTCAGTCGAAGAGGCTCGTGATCAGTCGAGGTTCACCAATTTTGAAGTATACAGTAAGAGATGTAGTGAGCAAGCAGCTTTAGCAGCATTCAATGCTTATTTGCGAGAAAGGGAGTCTCTAGGGCAACGTGTTTATACGAGTATTGCGGAAGACGAACTCAATGAGGGTGGGTTACATAGCACTTGGAAGTCAGCTACATCGAATATGAGCAAGCAATTCAACAAGTACTCCTCTGATCCTTATGAGTTGAAGCTGGCAGTTGGGTTGGTATTACGTTTCACCCGGAATGGAACTTCTACAGATAGGGGCATTGTTTTCAGCCAAGGACAGCTGGGTATTTGTAGGGAACTCCCTAATTCGAGTACGAGTGAGCATGTGGGTATATTATTGGTACCCGTTGGTATTCAATTTGTTGATGCTATTGATGTTATGAATCCTCCAACTAGTTGGACGCTTGCAGCTATTCATCGTAGTCTGGGTTATGATGTTATCGTTGGCGCTGTGACAATGAGACGGCGACAATATCCACTCAAAAATCACATCAGCAGTACCATACATAAATCACTTGGTTTGACTGTACCTCAGCTTACCACCCGACTAGCGACTCCCACTTCAGACAATCGCTTTGCTTTATGGGAGAAGCAACAACTGCTGGTGGTTATATCCAGGGTACGAAAACTTACCGATATTACACTAATCAATACACCTGACGAGATCCGTCAGACGGTTACTTACTTACTCGATAAAAGGTCTACCGATATGACGATGGTAGCACGTTTGTTGAAGGCAGTTGCTAAGACACAGTCGCAAGTTGATCCATCTCGGATCATTTTGCGGAGTAGATTCGACCCTATACCTCTACGAGTGTTTGATCCTAACGTTTATGATGGTGGTTGTGTGTATTGCCTAACTAGTACAACCAACGCTGATGTGACCTACATTGGATGTACATCAAACATCTACAAGCGTCTTAATAGCCATAATCGAGGGTTACAGGGCGCATCTTTTACTGCTATTAATGATTTGATGCCTTGGCGTATTGCTGCATTGATAATTGGGTTCCCTTTTCATGCCAGGAGTTCGTCGTATAATAAGTCCAGTCGGGCTGAGGTTGAGCATGCCTGGCATATTTTGATTGCTTCCTCGGATACTTTAGCAGTTGTCTTGTCGAAAGGCAAGTCATTATTATCGCACTATCGATTAAAGTATCCTTATTTGAAGTTCGTTGATTACTGTTCGAAAACGGATACAGATGTATAAAATTACCAGTTTCAAACACGTTCATTGAAATACAGTGTTGAAACCAATACCATGCAGGAAGAAGATCTCTTACTATCTTCGGTTGTGACTAAGCAATTAGTAGGATTGAAAAAAATTCATTTGACCGGGAATGCGATGTGCATTGTCGTTATATGTTTCAAGACGTTCCACGTGTATGAAATAAAATTGTTATGAGCTACGGACCATTTTCTCGTATATGGTACAGTGATTGAATGAGTCATCTACGGCGTAGATCCTATGTAATCACAGAGGCTATTTCTGTTCGGCTCGTAGTTCTTTGAAGAATATGTTCTTGCCAGGGCAGTTCATAAAAAAGCAACCTGTATCAGAAGATCCTTCGAAGAGACCTAGATTGGTTGCTTATAAAACAACTGTTGATGCAGATTTGAAGTTATCGCAGCTTTCAAAGGAAGTGAGCTCTATAGTAAGTGTTGACATGATAAAATTAACATGTAATGTACTATACAGGTATGCCCTGAAAACAACAGGTTAATTCCAGAATCACGTACATCAGTATCTCCTAAATGGTACATGCTGCAATCAACTGTGCCGTTCCCACGAAGTACTAATCCGAAGAAGTCCCCAGAACCACGCAAATCACACACTACACATCCGAATCGTGATGAACCATATAAAAATGATGGAAGCGTCAGTAGTCATGAGGAGTTCGAAGCTCGTTATATTCACGCATTGAAACAGCGATTCATCTTTGGTACTGCTACCGGCGAAAGCAATAACTGTCTTATTGACAGTTTGTATCAAGTAGCTGTTACAGCAGGATTGTCGACTTACATGGATCAGTGTGCTACCGGTGAGTTTTTTCGCGAAATACGGCAAGATTTGGTAACTGGCTATAATGCTCCGGAGGAAGCTTTCTTACAGCATGGTATTCACGGTATTCCTATCGTAAATATATTATGGAATCATATGAATATGGGTAAAGATCGTCCACCTGTAGGTATCACAGCTCATTCTCGACAAGATATAGTCTATCTTCTTAACCAGTGTTCGTATGCTGATGAAGAATTGTTAGATTTACCGGGTGAACTTGTATTCGAGGAGGATTTTGCTATAATTTTGCATCTATTCAACTACAACAATACCCATTATATTCCACTTATCCCGAAATAATATTTTACAGGATTGGCTCACGCGTGCCGTTAGGCACAAGCGTGAGCCTTCAGAGATTTAACATCAAGATAATCGTTTCTTTGGTATTCGATTTTAAAGCAG